CTATAGTGACCTTCAGATCCCTCCAGCCTCCTTCCCTGGCTCAGCCGTGGGTCATGGCTCTCAACTCACCTCCAGGCCCAGTTAACTCTACATCCTTGGTACCGAAGTTCCTCTTCTGGTTGTGCTCAGATGCACCTGGGCTGGGGGTCAAAACTTTCCCTGGTAGATCCTGATCCCATCCTGCTACCTGCCCAGCCTCAGCCAGGGACTCTGAGGGGATGGCTGCCTCCTCCCTTTCCCTTTGGTATTTTCCAGCAGCTTGAGTTGCTTCCAATTAGTGTCCCTCACTTCATTCTGGAACTTAGTTTACCCCATGGCAGGACTGAGAACTAATGTCTGTGGAGTGTCACTATGTGCCAGCCCAGTACAGGTCCTGTCCCACTTGTTGACCCCACAACAACCCTGCAAGGTGAAGATAGAGCCACATATTACAGATGAGGAAACCGAGACTGGGGAGCACAAGTAACTCCTCCTAGGTCACCCAGAGGTGTTACTGTGATTGGGTCACGTCCGTGTGACCCAAAGACCTGGCTTTGGAGCTCACTCCTACTGCCCCGCTGTCCCCATAAGTGCTGGTGAGGGCAGCTGGGCCAGACAGCGCAGGGCGCGGCAGGAATCAGCAACAAGGACCCTCCAGGATAACTTTTCCCATTGAAAATCTGTTCCCCTCGCGGCCACGAGTGATGTATGGCTGAAGCTGATGAGAAACGTGCGGCGGAATGGAGGCAAGCAGCGCGGGCGGGAGGCGGGCAGCAGCAGCAGCCGGGCGGGGGCAGCGCAGCATTGAGATTCCGCGGGGCGCGGGGGGCGGTGCAGACCCTGACGCGGGCCAGGTAATTGATCTGGAGGTGCCAATTTGCAGCAACTAAATATTTGGTTTCTGCCTCTGCCCGCTCCGCACTCTGCTCAAACAAACTTCAATTAAAAGTGAAAAGCGGGGGACAGTGTGGTGGCGGTGCGACCCGGTCCCTGCGGCCCAATCAATGGCTCAGAGCCTGCCGGAGCGCCAGACAAGGGTGGGGGTTGGGGGGTGGCGCCCTGTTGCGGATCGCCAGCTCACGAGAGGCAGGGCTTGGAGCAGCGGCTTAACCTCAGTCGGCCAGAGCAGAGGGTGTCCACTGTGTGCCAAGCTGGGGACACAAATAGGGCTAGCCTGACAACCCCACTCCGGATGTCCAAGCCTATGTACTTGGGCAGCAAGCCCGGGGAGGCAGAAGCTCCGGGGCGCTGAAACTCCTCTCCCAGTGAACCCACCCTAGGAACTTTGATGGCGGCCTTGCTGTTCAACAGCATTCCCTGAGCAGTCTTTCCTGAGCGCTGCAGAGTGCCTGGGGGCACTGAGTCCATCCTCAGTAACTTGTCTGCCCGACTGTCTACGTGTGGGTTGGGGGAGTCGATGAGGGTGAATCCAACCCAAGCCCCACCCCTGGAGGGTTCTGAAGGAGAGGGTTTGGAATTGGGGGAGACAGCTATGAAATCATGGGAATTGGGAAGAGGGCCTGGGGAGGTGGCTGCAGTCTGGGGCAGGGGAAGGGATCACTGGGTCACAGTTGCGTCTTTTGGGGTTCAAGACAAATATAGCAACAATAGTCATTCACTGGGTGGAGTTAGTTCATAGGCAAGTTTCTGTCCCTGGAGGATCTTCCAGTACTTTGTGAGAGACACCCCAGGACTAGGAAGGGGAGCTAATCATTGGTGCTGGGAAGCTGGGGCATCTCAGGGTCTGCTGGATGGGCAGCCTGTGGGTTAGTTAAGACAGCTCTGGGAAAGATATGATGAAGGGTGTAGATGGAGGTGGCAAAAGACATCCAGGTCTAGGGGTATGGGTAGATGCAGACCCATAGAAAGTGGAGGGGATTTGGGGTCTTTCCACCTGAGTGAAAGTTTCTTGAGGGTTAGAGTTGGGAAATAAGGCTGAGGAGCTGGGCAGGTAAGTGAGGAGAGGCCATTGACCCCTCCCACATTTCTGTGCCCACCTTCTGGAATGCAAGGATTGCTTCCACACTTACCCCTTAGCCAAGTGAGGTGGCTGATGGTCCAATCACTGGAAGCCCCTGTCCTCTCTTCCCCTTTCAACCCCCTCCTTCTGCACCTCCCCACCCCCCAGGATCCATGGCTAGGTGTGGAGGCACAGCTATGTGGGCTGCAGCTTCTAGGTAATCAGATGGCCCTGCAGGACTTTGGATCAAGGAGGCCTGGGTGTCATCCCCATTCCCAAACACAGGGCTCCGGGGCAGATTGGTCTCACTATACTCCTTCCATCCCCCTTCAACTCCAAGCAGTTGCCTCACCCCAGCCCCCACCCAGTTTATTAGCCCTCGGCCCCCAGTTCTCTCTCTTTGTTGCTTGGGACACCAGTCTGTCATCATAAGGGAGCTGAATCCAGAAGCCTCCCCATACACCACTACCCTCCCTCCCAGCTCCTCCCAGGGGCTGCCTCATTCCCTGCCTCAAGTCCCTTCCCAGCCTGTGAGCTGGGCGCCTACTCCCTCACATTCCCTCCCTCCCTCCCGCCCTCTCCCTGGGTGCTGAGCTGTGGAGCAGAATGATTTCCTGTAATTGGCCAGCAATCCGGCTGCCCGACTTGTTCTATCGACATGCTGGTTAGCTGGAAATTGTATTGGAATCTGAGCGACAGGGAGGGGAAGGAAGGGTGGGGAGCAAAGAGAGGAGGTTCTTTGGGCTCCAGCTGGGTGCAGCCTCAGCTCTGTGAATGGGACAGAGGAGCCACCAGCCACCTCTCCCCTTTATGAGAAGGAGCAGGAATGTAACCCACAGGGTTTCACCCCCTCCTTCATTTTGCTCCTTCTCTCTCACCATCTCCGAAGGTCTCCCCTGCCCTGTATGTGCCCCGGTGGCCTCAGGTCTTCACTGCCACCCCATTCCCTCTCCTGCTCCTAGGATGGTTCCTCCTGACCAGTGTCTTAGCAAGAACTAGGGGTGCCCAGCAGATATAGCTAGCCCTCTTACCCAATTTCTAGCCATGGAGGCTCATAATGGATTGTCCCTACTGCCTCTCTCCAGAAAGAGGCTAAACATCAGAAGAGCTGACAATAACTCCTAGATTAAAAGCCAAGGTGTAATTAAGGGGGGCAGTGCAGATAGTGGGAGGAACATTGTATTGGGAGACCAGAAACTTGGCCATTATGCCTGTTGGTTTTTGAACCCCATGGCTCAACCTCTGAGGCTCTGAAATTCTAACCTGGCCTCCTTCACAGAATTGGGAGATTTTAAGGAGATAACCATGTGAATGTGCTTTGTAAACTGTAAAGCTCTGTGAATTTCTCTAGGGCCAACCTGGTCCATCAGGATGGGGCCTGTCTGTCCCCTTCATCTCCCACCAAGAGGCTGGTGTGTCTGCTGCCCTCCCTGGTGTCTACATCGCTTCGTGTTTGTGGGGGGGTGGGGTAAAGCCCCAAGGCCACAAGCAGGGAATAGAGCACAGTGCCCAAGCAAGCCGCTGGAGGGTGGGAGCCCCGGTCTCTTGTCCTCAGAAGGGAAGGTGGGTAGGACAGGATGGGGGCATAACCCTCTGCCCCAACACAGCTTCTTAATTAGTGCCTGGGGCCAGGCAGTCCTGGCCTCCACCCCCACCCTGACCTGTGCTCCCCTGCAGCCGCTGGGTACATCTGAATAGACCTGGCGGGAAGAAAGGCGGGAACCCCACTGGCAGAAAGTTAGTACTTGCTTCACAAGTTCCAGCTGCATAGGTTGGACCCCAACCCGGACGGGTGCTGCCACCTGCTGGCTGAAGGGGATACTGCCCGCTGGGGTTGGGACTGGGGCTCCTGGTGGCCTGGCTCTGGCTGTTCCCCGGCCTTCAGAGACCCCCTAAGTCTAACCATGGTTTCACTCCCCCGGGGACAGCATGCTTTCTTTTAAAGCTGCCATGGGCCACCAGGCCTGGGAAAAGGAGATGGTGAGGATGGAGGCATGAGTTGGGGCAGTAGGAGCTGGCTGGACCAGGACACTGGTAAGGACTAGATCGTGTTTCTCCACACTTTCCAGGCTGGCCATCCTCTGACATTCTTGCATCAAACTCAGCATACTGGGTCACGTAAGAAAGTAATTCTTTGGAACTTTATAGTCTGCAAAGGGTGTAATTTTCACTGTCCTCCATTCATTAGGTCCTTTGACCTAAGCATCACAATGCCTACCTGATAGAAGAAACAAGAGCCAGGAGGCCACATAAGGAGGAGACAGGACCGGGTTGCAATCCCAGAGCTGCTCTTCAGAGGAGGCTCAGGGGTACAGTGGGCAGAAGAATCCTGAAGCTTGGCTGTGATCCGAATCAGATCCCTCCATCTCTCTGGGCCTGGAACTGGAATACTCAATGTTATGTCATCTCTAGAGTGTTACCCATCTAGCCAAGTGTCCAACACATCACAGGCATTCATGAAGTCATTTTCTCAATGACTGGGGTTAATAGGACACCTTGTTACCTCAAGGAGGGGTCTATACCTTTCCTCCTTTTACCCCTCCTGCCAAGTTCCACGAAGCAGCTGCCCTCTGCCTTTCTCATCCTGCCCTGGCCTCACCCTAAAGCTCACCACCTCCTGGCCCAGCCTTTGCCCCTGAGGGTTTGCAGTTAATAAGCTGGTCTCCAAGGTATGAACAGCTCTGGGAAATGGAGCACTAAATATGGCCACCACAGTATTCACATTTGTCACACTCATTGCTGGCCTTAATAGGCTGCTGGCCGCAGGATCACCACATCAGCAGGTCTGCCAGCTCTGGTAAGAGAAAGCTGATGTGTTCACTGGTCTAATTGGCTTGGGAAGGAAGATGGAGTAAGTGGGTGTGATATTGCTCTGGCTGGGTACACCTGGACCTAGCTGGAATCCTCCTGGGGCCCCAGGGTAAGTCCAAGGGCAACTGTACCTCCTGGGGCCCAGGCTTCAGTGTAGGAGGAGAACAGTGTAACCCAAATGGTATCAGTCAAGTCTGGGAACCTTAATTGGTCCATAGTGCTGGGAGAACAATGGCAGTGCAGGGCACTTCAGATCAACACACTTTATTAAGCACCAACAGCGAGGCAGGCTCTGCACCAGGAACAGAGATGAATAAGACAGTCCCTGCCCTCAAAGGGCTTACAGTCTAGTAGGAGAGACCAACCAGCTTTGGGCTGTTTACTATACTATAGATTCAGATAAAACATCATCCAAGAGCACCTAGCCCAGCCTGGGGCTTCAGACAGTGCCTAAGCTGGGAGTCAGCCAGTTATAGCGGGGGAAATGGTATTCCAGGTAGGGAAACAGCACAGTGAAGGCACAGAGGTCAAAACCAGCATGGTACACATGGACTACCAAGAGTTCAGGGCTAGGAGTACATGGAATGGAAGGTACAGAGTGGTTGGAGGTGGCGAGCAGGGTAAGGGGAGTGTTGGACAAGTGCCAAAGTGGGACAGCGGGTCATCCCAGAAGAGGCCTGGCCTCTGCCAACTACTACATTACCCACAAGGAATCCTTACAGCATCCTGTCCAAGGGCATCAACCTAGGGGACAGTCCTGTTTGAAGGTGGTAGCCCTTGGTCCACAATGATTTGTTATGGTCCATGAAGGTTTTGGCCACAATGGGGCATGTACTCAGAGGGTCCAAGCCCAGGGAACCTTCCAGCTTTAAACATAGTTGAGGGCCACAGAGACAATGTTCCTCACCCCTACCCACAAGAAATATATAATAGTCTCTTCCACGGTTGTTTTCATGTCCCACAGTGGACACTGTAGGTGGTTCCAGAAGGAGGGACCCTGGGGAAGATGGGAAAGAATAGCTACTGACAGAGGGCTGTTTCTTTACCTCAGACAGAACATACCCCAAAGAAGGGTGTCAGCCCAGTGCAGGGCTCCAGCCTAGAGAGAGAGAGCGGGAGAGAGTGTGTGTGTTGAAAGGGCCAAGAGGAAACAGGATGCATTTGTGACCCAGCTTCAGCCTCTGAAGAGACTGAGGCCTGGGGCTTCCTGCCTTGGGAGTGCCCAGCTAGGGGGAAGGCAGGAGGTAGCGGGTGAGCAAGTAGAGGAGGCTGGCAATGCCAGCCAGACCTGTGAGGACCCCGAGCCTCAGGGGCAGGTACTCTAGGGAGCGCTCCAGCTCGGTGTGCAGAAGAATGACCTGACGTTTGGTGATGCTCCACTCGCCTGAGTTGTCTAGAACATGGCGGGCCAGGCGGGCTTTGTCCTTCAGGGGCAGCTGAGCATTGATCCGAGCCTCTGCATCCTCGCGGCTCAGGTTGTTCCGCCGCATCAGCCGTGCTAGCTGCGTGTCCCGGTCGCTAAGGACAGGGTAAAAGGGCTGATCAGGCTTTGTAGTCCCCAGCTTCCCTCCCCATAAGCAAGTTACAGGTGCACAGCCCCTTTTCCCAAATCAATTTAGGGTACCACAATTAGGAAGGGGGGTCTAGAAGCTCATAGGCTCCCCCACCTTACCCTACTCTGTGAGAACCCTGGTAGCATAATGAGCTTAATATAAACAAGGAGGAAAGGCTGCAAAAGCTGCTTTCTGCCATCTGGACCTCTGCTTTGCCACCAGACCTGAGATTTCCCAGTTATAAGATGGAAGGATTTGATCACCTGGAATCAGCTACGGCCTGGATCCCTGGATGGATGACCTTTACAGAAAGGCCCGTGCCTGCAAGCTAAACGCTTCCTGCACTTCCCCTGGGGTCCTGGGCCTACTGCATCAAAAATAGCTTCCTGGCCCTGGTCAGTTTGGCTCAGTGGTTGGAGCATCGGCCCAGGAACTGGAGAGTTACAGGTTTGATTCCCGGTCAAGGGCACATACCTGGGTTGCAGGTTTAATCCCCATCCCTGGTCAGAGTCGTGTGGGAGGCAACCAATCAATATGTCTCTCTCACATCAATGTTTCTCTCTCTCTCTCTCCCTCCCTCCCTCCCTCCCTTCCATTCTCTCTAAAAATCAATGGAAAGCCCTGGCTGGTTTGGTTCAGCGGTTAGAGTGTCGGCCTGCGATCCAGAGAGACTGGGGTTCGGTTCCCGCTAAGGGCACGTACCTCGGTTGCAGTTTGTCCCCGTCCCTGGTTGGGTCGTGTGGGTGACAACCACTCAATGTGTCTCTCTCATGTTGATGTTTCTCTCTCTCTCTCTCTCTCTCTCTCTCTCTCCCCCTCCCTCCCTCCCACTCTATCTGAACAAAAAATAGAAAAATGTCCTCGGGTGAGGATTAAAAATAAATAAATACATTTTTTAAAAATTAAATTAATGGAAAAAATATCCACAGCTCGGCTGGTGTGGCTCATTGGTTGAGCATCAACCCACGCATCAAGAGGTCGCCAGTTCGATACCTGGTCAGGGCATATGCCCAGGTTGTGGGCCTAATCCCCAGTAGGGGGCATGCAGGAGGCGGCCAATGGATCTTCTCTCTCGTCGATGTTTCTCTCCCTCTCCCTTCCTCTCTCTCTAAAATCAATAAAGTAAAAATAAAATATATATTTAAAAAATCCTTGGGTGAGGATTAACACAAAAAGAGGAATGGGCAAGCCCCAAGATGTTTCTAATGGGGCAAAACTTGAGAATTGGATCCCCTCAGTCCTTGGGACAGGACAAAGGACTACTTAAACTGAACAACCCGCAGTCTCCAATTCCATAGGAAATTCAAAGGATACCTCTGTGGCCCACTCTGATATTACCACCTGGGTCCTTCCTTAGCAAACTCTCTGTCCTGCCTTTGGCTATACAGGGACTGCCCACTGAGCTCTGGAACAGGGTCATCTCTAACACCCCATTAGCTCCGTGACTACCTAAGCCCCTCAAAAGGAACAAAGGAAAAGAGCTGCAGCAGCTGCTTCCTGCCACTGGGGCCTCTCTGCTTTGCCACTAGGCCTGAGATTCCCTAGTTATAAGATGGGACAACAGATCACTACAATTTGGTCTTCTCTTAGGTGTCTCCTACACCAGAGTGCCTCCTGGGATGTGAAGACTTTCTAAGGACAAACATAACCTGAACACTAGCCAGTTCAGTTCCAATTCCATTCCGAACAAAATGCTGCAGAAAATCATTTCTGGCTGGCTGATCAGGGAGACCTTTCAGAAGACATGGCATTAGTAATGGCCTTGAAAAGTAAGTAGGATTTCTGATTTCCTTTGTTATGGGACAGTGTACTGTCAAGGTCATGGGGCCAATCTCTGCCTGGCTGAGAACAAGAACTATATCCAATCTTAGTCAGGAATATCTCAGGTCTAGGGCTGGGAAAATCAGGGTGAGAAAATGAAGATGGCTTAGGGACACCTGAGTACACATCCTTTGGAAGGTATGGCCTAGACCAGAGGGCCTCCTGGAATGTGAAGGCAGAACTCTCTACCAGCCTTTTCTGTGGCTCAGAAATAATCCCATCTGGTTAGTTTAAGGATTGATGCTATTTGTAGTAATGAGATTTTTACCAAACACTTATTACACAATGGACACATTCCTTGAAAATGTGAATTATCTAGTTTTGGTATAATCATGCTTTGGTAAATGCCCCATATTATTTCAAATGCATCAGGGGTAGTGTGACAGTTAAAGGAATCCATGAGGGGAACCTCACTGTAAAGTGTAGAGCCCTTTTATAAAAAGCAAATTATAACACTCATTCATATCTCTGGCATCTCTCTCGAGTCATACACCCACATGTGCTGAATGTGGGGCATGAACAGCAACCAGGACTTTGGCAAAGGTTCCTTGGCTAGCGAGTGGGGCTGGAGGAGCTCCTGGAAAACAGACAGAATCTACAAAGCCCCATTTATCTGCCAGGAGCCATAGCTCTGCTCTTAGCAAACACACCATAGCTCTGCTTTTAGCAAACACACCAACCTAGAAGGAAAGTACAGGAAGAAGGTGGCAAGGGTAGGCACAGAGTCACCTGTTGATTGCAGATACAACCTGTTTTCTCACCTACACTCAAGATTCTTTTTTTGGATCCCTTGGTACAAAGTTCCAATTATATTAAGACTCCAAGGCAAAGAGAACTCCAAGTCTTCATGGAGTTTGCTTGGCCTCAGCTGATAGTCTTTCACAAACAGGAGACAAAGAACCCAGAGAGGATGCACGTTTACATGGAGAGACATGGGCCCAAGCAGGAGCTATGAGGAAGCCTGAGTCTCTACACCAGGTTCAGCAGACTCAGACAGGGTTTTAAATGACAGTTTAGCCCTGGCCAGTTTGGCTCATTAGCTGGAGCATCGGCCTCTGGACTGAAGGGTCTCAAGTTTGATTCTGATCAAGGGCAGGTACCTGGGTTGCAGGTTTGATTCCCGGCCCAGGTTGGGGTTGTGCAGGAAGCAACCAATCGATGTGTCTCTCTCACACTGATGTTTCTTTTTCTTGCTCTCTCCCAACCTCCATCCCCGCCCACTCTCTCTAAAAACAAATTAATGGAAAAATATCCTGGGGTGAGGTTAAGAAAAATAAAGAACAAATAAAGTTACAATACCCTCACAGGCACTAGTAATCATTCTAAAAATAACAATAACAACAACAATAATAAAATGACAGTCTATGGTGGGGAGCTGGGGGGCAGTAGGAAGGTAGGTCAGGATGATGCTTAGGGCATTGAGCACTCTAGGCCCCATATCTAGTGCGCCAGAAACCTCCCATGTATCAATCTCCTGAGAGACACCCAGTGCTCAAAATACCCACAGAGCCAAGTGCCCACCTCTGTGTCTATTTTACTTGTGGGTGGCATCCAGGAAGTTTCTGGGAGACAGAAACACTCATCTACTCTCTCATCCCACTGGGACTGTGACTCATTTTTTTCTGACAGTTTGATCCTCCTCTGTTTGTCAAACCTGGATTCTGGTTTGCTTCATATCTTGGGAGATTCTGAAAACAAAGCTCCTTCCTTAGCTGGGCTCTGACAGTTCCCTCCCTGCAGCTTTTTGTAGCCAATGGGAGACCCTGGACAAATTCTGTTACCTCTCCCCATGTACTCACCCCAACTCCAAGTTTTCTCTTCTATAACTCAGAAGTATCAACTAATGACCTGAATACCTCATATTGAAAGGTAAACTGAGTGAAGTAATAAGTGTGGGAGCTGTTTGGAAAGTTGAGAAATGCTGGAGGAGGAAAAAGAGATCCAGTGAATAACAACATAGCCCAGGGCAGGGCCTAACATCTGGGCTGAAGTGCCTCCAATATCCAGCAGGGGGAGCCCTTCCCAAGCACCAGAGAAGCCTGGAGGCCATCCCTTCCCACACCTACCTGGGGGCATATCTGGATCAGGCACTGAGGTTGGTTTCGGTAGGCTCTGGGCACTGCTGCCCTAAACCCCTGTGCTTCCTGGCAACCCTGTGGGGAAAGGGTAGTGATGTGGGCCATTTCTCAGGTATATGCCTTACTCCAGGGGTCCTCTTTCCTAGCCTCAGTCACGCAAGGCAATGCCATACACTTACCAGTATACCACCACTGTGTGCTTCATATACTTGAGCAGTTTCTTGGTCTCAAACAGCAGGGGTATATCCAGAATCACGTAGCGGTACCCTGGAGAAAAGACAGGAAAATCACAAGGTCAAGTCTGCAAGTACACAATGAGGACTAACTATGGGTTAGGTGTGGGAATAGAGTTGAAGACATTGGCTCCTACCATTGAAAGCTCCCCAACAGAGGGAGACAGGCATAACCTAACCTGATAGCTAGCCAGTTCCAATGACATTCAAAACAGAATGCTGCAGAAAGGCCTTTTTTACTGGATGAGCAGGTAAGACCTTATAGAAGGGGTGGCATTTGTTCTGGCCTTGCAAAGCGGATAGGACTTCTGGTACTTAAAAATGAGGAGTGAAAGTGAGGATTCCAGGAAGGGGCAAAGCAAATCAGCAAGGTCCTATTGTTCTGGCTGAAGTGGAGGCCTTGAGCAGTGTGAAGCAAAATTGATGAGGTGGTCAGGCAGGTACACAGCATTGAGTTCACCTTGATCTTGAACCCAAAGAGTTGTTATTTCTTTTTTTGTGGGGAGCGGCGGGGGGCGGGCATGCTAATCTCTATGGTGTTCCAATTTTAGTATATGTGCTGCCTAAGTGAGCACAAGAGTTGTTTTTTCTGAGCAGAGAAATGACACAGCCAAAATTGTAGGAGACAGGGGAGAGGTTCCAGGAGTGACTGGGCCCTTTCTGCCCTACTTCACCCACCTTTGTTGGTATTTTAAACAACAAAAAAAGGGTTCTTGTCTTGGCTGGTTTGGCTCAGCGGTTAGTGTCAGCCTGTGGACCAAAGAGTCATGGGTTCAATTCTGGTCAAGGGCAAGTACCTCAGTTGCGGTTCAGTCCCCAGCCCCGGTTGGGGTCATGCAGGAGGCAACCAGTAGATGTGTCTCTTTCACATCGATGTTTCTCTCTCTCTCTCTCTCTTTGTCCCTTCCTCCCTTCCTCCCTCCCTCACACTCTATCTGAAGATAAATAGAAAAATATCCTCGGGTGAGGATTAAAAAAAAAACAGGTTCTTCCAAGCCTGGCTCCCAGCTGAAGGCTGAAGAGTCCTGTATGGCTATCTCTACCAACTCTCCATGAGAGACTCACATGGGAGTGGCAACCAATAGGAAAGAGGCTTCTTCTTAGGGTCAGAGGCAAACCTCCAGCCTGAGATTGCAGGGACAGGTCTGGAGGTGCTGTGGTGGTTATGACTAATACTAAACTAACTCCAGTAAGATAAAAGCACTGGCTGGGCCTTGGCCAGTTTGGCTCAGCGGTTAGAGCATCAGCCTGCGGTCCGGAGAGACTGGGTTCAGTTCCTGCTAAGGGCATATACCTCGGTTGCAGTTTGTCTCCAGTTCTGGTTGGTCTTGCGGGTGGCAACCACTCGATGTGTCCCTTTCACTTCAATGTTTCTCTCTCTTTCTCTCCCTCCCACTCTATCTGAACAAAAAATGGAAAAATGTCCTCGGGTGAGGATTAAAAAAAAAAGCACTGGCTGGCCCTCCCACTACAATTCAACGCCAGTCAAGGGCAGTACCCTCACCCACTATGAGTGGGCACATCCCTGGGCTGCCCACCCAGGAATACTGTGGGCTCCACACTCCTAGTTCTCTTTATGCCAGTGACCTCTGTGTAGGTATAATAAAGCTGGCAGGGGACTAGGAGCAGTAAGAGGAAGGGACGGGCACTGCTCTGCCTAGAGACCACTGCAAACACTACCAAATACACAACCAGATATATACCACACCAATTCTAAGGGTGTCACAGGGAAACTGGCACTCTAGGTGATGCAGGGAACAGAGTGACAACACAAGTTACTGGGTTTCCTGTTCCCTTGGATCTGTTGCTCAGGAAACCTTCAACTGAATGAGGGGTTAAGAGAATGGGTTCTGATAACATGCCTGAATTTGTAGCGCCCTCCTTTCTCACCATGTGACTTGTGGCCCCTTAATAAACCTCATCTGTGTAAATGAATAAAAAGACCACCTACTTCACAAGATGATGGGAAGGATTAAATGAATAAAGTCATGTAGACCACGCAGTACCCCCTCACCCAGACCCTCACTAAATGCTACATAAATGAGGATTATTATTACTACTGTCCCCTGAGGAGGGAGGCCTGCAGTGCTGGCTCGCTCTCTGGCTCCCCTCCCAACTCAGAACAGGAGCTAGGGCCAGATCCTCTCTGGGCCTCTTATCTCTCTTTCCTGCTCTGCTCCCATCCCTTCCTCTCCCCTCACTGTCCTTTCTCCTCAGCCCCTCTCGGGAGCTCGTGGCCAGTTCTTTCGTTCACTGGCAAAGGGCTATTCAGCTGTCACATCCCTCCTGCTTGATAAGCTCTGCAAACTATCCTGACTCTATTAAGACATCCGTCTGCCTACACAGAGACCTCCCCAACAGCTGGTGATCTTATCTGACGTTTGATTATACCAACTCTGACAGTTGTATTTGTTATAGTCATCAGGGAAAAACTGGGACTGTGGAAGCCACAGCTGTCGTCCCCATTTTTCACCTTATCGAGCTGAAAAGAGCTTTCTGGCTTTTATTTAAGTGGTGGTGGTTGGAGAGAGGGGAGGCTGGGTGGATGACACTGTGGGAGAACTTTGGAGCGGGTGACATTATCTGACTCTTAATTTCATAAGGGGAAAGCCACTGTTGTCTCAGAGCCCTGCAGATGTACTTGCAACTGGCCTGGGAATGAATGCAAAAGGGCAGGTATGAAAGGCAGAAGGCTTTGCTCCTGGATGGAGGCAGGAGGGGATGCTGGCACAGACACAAGAGGCAGGACAAAGCAAAAATCTAGAAACTCTCCTTAAGGAAGGAGGAAGGGAGGTAAGCCTGCGGCAAGGTACTGAGATGCAGAGCAAAAGCTGGTCCAGTAGGGAGGATGCCTGAAGCCAACTCCCACCCTGGCCAGAGCTGGGGGGAGGGCAAAGGAGGTCAGCATCATGATGTCTGTCAAGTGATCCCTTTCCTTCTGGAGAAAGATTCTGGCCAGAGAGGGGTGGGATTCCCCACTCTGTACTTGACAACTTGACACCTGAGAAAGTAAGGGGTTTGGCCATGATCACAGTGCAAAAGCCAGAAGAAAACCTAGAAACCTCCCTCATACCATTAAGGAGGCAAAGTCTCAGCATCATGACTGACAGTGGAGAGAAAAGCAGCCAGGCCTTCAACACTGAGACCCAGACTGAAGACCATATATGCCAAAGGCTGCAGGGGCCCTAGGCTAGCCTCTTGCCTGATCTCAAGCCACTGCACTCCACTCAACCACTTCCCCTGGTGACTGACTCCATGGCGGACAGTATTAGATCACCCCTGACCAACACCGTCCTGAAGAACACGACTTGAACTGTGGCATATGGCTTGGGAAAGGCTAGCAACAGCTGTGGAAAGTTATTGCCAACTGACCACAGACCCCTGCTTTTTTTCTTTTGTTAATCCTTACCTGAGGATATTTTTCCACTGACTTTTTTTTTTTTTTTTTTTTTTAAGAGTGGAAGGGAGGGAAGGAGAGAGAGAGAGAGAAACATTGATGTGAGAGACACATCGATTGTGCCTCCTACATGACCTTGACAGGGGCCAGGGATCAAACCTGCAACTCAGGTACGTGCCCTTGACTAGGACTCAAACGAGACCTTTCTGTCAGTGGGCTGACACTCTAACCACTGAGCAAAACCAGACAGTGCCAGACCCCTTCTTTCAGTCCCGGCAAGGCACCTGGCTGTCTCTGTACATGCCAGGCTCTCTCCACTGAGCCCTAGCTTCAAAGGATTATCCTCCACTTAGAACTCCACCACCTGCCCTGGCCATCCTGGACCCTCTCCAATTTCCTGTCTGCAAACTCACTTTCCCAGGAGGCTTGACTAGCACCAAATCTGACTCTGACTGTGGTTTCTATTTGTGGGATAATGGACAGTCAGTGACGTGGCCTCCTAGTCCCCCTAACAACTTTGCAAGGCTGGCATTATTAGCCTCACTATGCAGATAAGGAAACAGGCAGAGGGGCTGGCTCACTGACAAAGTCAAACAGCTAGACACTGTGAGGGCCGGGACTTAAACCCAGGTCTTATGACCCCATTATTCATCAGCTGTTATTACTCCCATCCCTACTAGAAAAATCAACTTACTTCCTGGGGATCATGGCTCAAAAGCCTCAATTATCTCTTCTCATTAAAATGTCAACCCTCTTAAGAGTTGAGAGACATGTGCTTCTTTCCTCTGGGGCTGGTACAGGGCTCTGCATGGGGGGAGGGGGCAGTTTGAATAAATAGTATGAACTCTACAGCCTGTTTATCCAGCCCCCACCCCAACCCCCACCAACTTTTCAGCAGAGAAAGGCCCTGGCCCTGAAAGGAGAGGGCTTTGCCCACCCCTGTCCCAGGCCCTGGGTCTTACCCCGAAGGAAGTACTTGAAGGTCTCCTTCATCATTTCCTTGCGGATTTCAGGGTGGGTAATGGTGTTGAGCAGATGCCGCCGGTCAGGCTGGTTAAATATCAGGTCCCCCAGAACTTTGCGATCGATGTCTCCATTCTCCAACAAGACCTCAGTACCAAAGACCTCCACAATGCGCCGGTGGGCAGGGTATCCTGGCTGGACAACTGTGACAATAGAGAAAGGCTAGGTCACTCTTCAGAGCCTCTAGACCAACCAGAGGACCCCAACTGACCAGAGGCAAAATGATGGGGGAACCCAAGGCTGCTTCTTTCAGTTGAAGCAAAAATGAAACAAGGAGAGGGAAAGCAGTTATGGAAGAGAGCCAAGTGCACAGAGTCCCTCATGTTGATCATGGGTGAAGTGAAGGAGGGGAGCTGTCTCAGAGATGGAGGAATAAAGAGAAAAGCAGGAGGACAAGCATGGAGCAGGGAGCAGGACATCAGACAGGGTCAAAATCAAAGTCTTCTCCTCCTCTGAGGCTTTGGAAGGCAGCCTCATCTTTATAAGAAAGGCCCTATAAAAAGGAAGCACAAGGGAGCTGTCAAGTATAATCCTATAACCCCACCCCTCCAACTCACCGTGTCGGGCGATGACATCTACATCAATCACCGCACACCCCAGCTGCTGGAACACCTGGATCACTGAGCTCTTCCCTGAGGCAATGCCCCCTGTCAGGCCCACCAGGAACATCTTCCCAGGAAAAAGGCAGTCAATGAGACTAGAGACCCAGAAGTCGATAATCACTGGAGTAGGGCAAGCTCAGCCAATCAGGATGAGCCACCACAGGAATGCCAGAAGGATCTGCCTGTGGGACAAGAGCAGGCCTGATCAGTGCTGGGAGAGGAAGGCAAAGGAAGGGGAAGGAGACAGCCTGGTCGGGCAGTCAGGCCAGGAGCTTAGGGAGCTCTGGGTCCATCCTCAAACAGAAAACTCGTTCAGGAAAGGCATCTAGTCTTCATTCAGAAACACTCATAAAGAAGGCAAACTAACACAGTCTAAATTTAGCAAAGTGCTGAGGAGGCAGAGCAAGGTCAGGTGCTGTTAAGCATAGTGTGCTTTCTGAAGGTGGCAGTAACTAAGGTAGGCACACTTCCAGAAGGGGACACTTACCCCTCTGTAGTGAACCCAAGGCACTTTCCAGATGTCCACAGAAGCAACTTCCCCTCCCCAGCCTCTACTTTTTTTTTTTTTTTTTTTATCATCCTCACCCGAGGACATTTTTCCATTCTTTGTTCAGGTAGAGTGGGAGGGAGAGAAAGAGAGAGAAACATTGACGTGAAAGGGGCACATCGAGTGGCTGCCACCCGCACGACCAACCAGGGCCGGGGACAAACTGCAACCGAGGTACGTGCCCTTAGCGGGAACCGAACCCGGGTCTCTCCGGACCGCAGGCCGACGCTCTAACCGCTGAGCCAAACCGGCCAGGGCTGCCTCTACTTTTTTTAAAAGTTGATTTTAAAGAGAGGAGGGGAGAGGGAGAGAAAAAGAGAGAGACATCAATGTGAAAGAGAAACATTGATTGGCTGCTTTCTGCATGCACCCTGACCAGGGATGGAACTGGCGACCTTTCCGTGCACAGAACAACACTCAACCAACTGATCCACACCGGCCAGGGCCCCAGCCTCCACTTTCTAGTCTGGGACACCTAGGCTCATAAAAGTAATGGCCTGCCTGCCCTACCCTAACACCAATAGTAGGATTATCTAGGTGGCTAGTCTAGACTGAGATGAGTAATCCCTCCTGCTCAGCAAAGAAGTGGAGCAGATGAGAACCTCAACGGCAAGCAGTGGTTCAGTGGCCACTAAGCCTGAGGTTTAGAGAAGTATGGGTCTTGCCAAAAAGAAATGTGAGGAAAGGATGAGGGGCCGGGGGGGCGGGGGGGGTTATTTTGAGCTTGGTGTGACTTGTGGTCTCAGACTGGTCAGCAGCAGCATAGCACAAAAGTTAGGAGCATGGACCTCTTCAAATCCAATTCCTCGCTTACATGCTGTGCAACCCCAGGCAAGTCACTTGCCTTTCTGAGTCTCAGTTTTCTCATTCATAAAATGGAATGACAGTCCGGCTGGTGTGGCTCAGTGGATTGAGCATGTCCCATAGATTCCCGGTCAGGGCACATACCCGGGTTTCAGGCTTGATCCCCAGTAGGGGGTGTGCAGGAGGCAGCTGATCGATGTTTCTCACATCGATGTTTCTATCTCTCTCTCCCTTCCTCCCTCTCTAAAAAATATCAATAAAAACGTATTAAATGGGATGATAGAATCTGCCTCACATGCTGTTGTGCAGACTGAATGAGAAAATGCTTATGAAGCTCTTGCTACACTGCCTGATGCAGTAAAGGAAGTGAGGATGGTGATGTGTGATGGAAGATGAGGGTTATAGTCAGATTGCAAGAAAAAAAGACTTTCATGAAGTTATGTCCCCATTTCTGCAACCACAAGACTATCTAGCAATAGACTTTTTAAAAAGTCATGTTGTGCCCTGGCCGGTTTAGAGCGTCGGCCTGCGGTCCTGAGAGACCCGGGTTCGGTTCCCGCTAAGGGCACGTACCTCGGTTGCAGTTTGTCCCCGGCCCTGGTCGGTTGTGCGGGTGGCAACCACTCGATGTGTCCCTTCACATCGATGTTTTTCTCTCTCTGTTCCTCTCTCTCCCTCCCACTCTACCTGAACAAAAAATGGAAAAATGTCCTCGGGTGAGGATTAAATAAATAAATAAATAAATAAAATAAAAAGTCATGTTGTAGCCCTGACCAGGTAGCTCAGTTGGTTAGAGCATCATACTGATATGTCAAGGTTGCAGGTTTAATCTCTGGTCAGGGCACACATAAGACTCAATCAATGAATACATAGATAAGTGAAACAGCAAAATGATGCTTCTCTCTCTCTCTCAAAAAAAAGTCCTGACCAGTTTGGCTTAGTGGTTAGAGTATCGGCACATAAACTAAAAGGTCATGGGTTCAATTCCCATTCAAGGGCATATATCTAGGTTGCAGGTTCGATCCCTGACCCTGGTTGGGGTTGTGTGGGAGGCAATTAGTCAATGTGTCTCACATCAATGTTTCTCTCTCTCTCTCCCTCCTTCCCACTCTATCTAGAAATCAATAATTAAAAAAAAAAGTCGTGTTGCATTATTTGGAGTAAATAGGATTACCATGTCTTGAACTTTGTTCCCAGACTGAAAGAAATTAAATTGAAGGTCAGGTCTTCTCATTTTTCCTTCAGTGTCTCCAGGACCTTGAAATCTGTCATAGGACTTTTTGTTGTTAAGATTTACTGTCCTAATTACACTTTGCTTGAGCTTATACTAAAATGAGTTTGCTCCCCTGAGGACACACCAAATAACACGGGGAGGCAGCTGCTCAGATGTGGATGGGTGGCTTGGAGCAGCAGGGGGACCAACCCAAAAGTTTAAATTCTCATTCTCAAGGAAGCCAGGGGTGGAGAGAGGGAAATATCTACCAGCTTCATCATCCAAATGGAGAAACCTAAGTTATTAAAGTATTTCTTCTCAGTCTGAGACTGGAGTCATCCCTAGGTGGTATGCCCCCTAGCTTTCAAAAAGAGGGGCTAAGGATAAGGTTCAGTTGTCCAAAAAAAAGCTCGTCTACTCAGCTGAAGTTTGAAACGAGGAACCCAGCAAGAGTTTTTAATCCCAACTCTGTCCTATTGTCTCTAAAGCAATGAGTCTGCTACTCTTTTATTGAAAACCAATCTGGAACAGTGGCAGTGGGATTTGAGAATAGGTCGTGGTGGAGTAAAAAGGCAAAGGCCAGTTCTCCACAGGGCCCTGACCTCTCAATGTAAAAAGCAAGCCACTGTCATGGGTCAGTACAGCTTTGTCGGAGTCAGCTGAAAGTGCCTGGAAGGCCATGTGGCTGAGACTTTATCCCCTGTCCACCCACAGGACCAGGACCCTGTCGAAATCTACTGAGTCAGAATCCTAGGGATGGCAGTGCCCTGGCAGTTCTGCTGTGTAACAGGGCTTGGGATCAACTCTAACTCTTCACTTACAGCAGCAGAGATGGAGGATCAGAGAGGGGGAGAGACTTGCCCAGAGCCACAGCTGTTAGTGGAGCCTGGATGGAATTCAAGACTTGTAGCCCTGAGTCTAGACCCCTGCCTTTGTGTACTCAGGGAATGAAAATTAATTTACCTTTAGACCAGGACAAAACAAGGACGGTGAATCTGCAGGCAAATCAATTCAGAGCCAAAGAAAAATTATTTCTTGATCATATTAGTGTTTTCCCTTGGCAGAATAAGGGTGGGGTCTTAGGAAGAGCAAACGGCACAGATGTGAATTCCGGCTCAGCTCTGTCCCAGGCTCCTGGGGTAACCTAATGAATATCTTCCCTTCTCCATGTCTTGGATGACCATCTGTGGAAACAGACCAACAGCTGCTTGGCCTCCATCAGGAAGGCCAAGGGGATGGAGGAGCACAGGCCCTGGCCCCCTGGCTTAAAGAGCCTGGACAAATAACAGCTGTTCCTGTCTGGCAAACCCCCCCCCCCCCAACTCATTCCTTCACTAGCCACTGACTGCGCTCCTCTGGGCTTTGCGGCATGATGCCAGGGACCTCTCAGGCAACGAAAGAAAAACACAGGTCTTGTCCCTCAGGATAATGGAGAGACAGACAGTAACAAATGAAACCCACTAACATGCGAGCAAGAGTAGCCATGTGGTCCTCACCCTGGGCCTGGGAGTGGGTGGGAGGGGTGTATGGACCTGCTCACAGGTCTGCTCACAAATCTGCCCGGGAGGGAGCTACAACCAATCACAGCCCCCTGTCCCTCAAGACTGACTTATCAAGAAGAAAATGAAGCCCTGGCCAGTTTGGCTCAGCGGTTAGAGTGTCGGCCTGCGGTCTGGAGAGACCCGGGTTCGGTTCCCGCTAAGGGCACGTACTTCGGTTGCAGTTTGTCCCCGGCCCTGGTTGGTCGTGTGGGTGGCAGCCACTCGATGTGTCCCTTCACGTCGATATTTCTGTCTGTCTCTCCCTTCCTCTCTCTCCCTCCCACTCTATCTGTACAAAAAAAATGGAAAAATATCCTCGGGTGAGGATAAAAAAAAAAAAAAAAAAAGAAAATGAAGGCTTAAGTTCCAAGCTGCCTCTAAGTCCCACCCAAACCTGTCCCCGAAGCTCCTCTCTAGACACCCATGAAGTGACCACCTTTGATAACCTTTGATGACCCTCTTCCTGTTCTGGCTCAAGCCATCATTCTCCAGAATCTGCTCATTGCTCCTTATTCCACAGCCATTTATACAGAGGAACTCCTAAACCTGGCTCTGATTTGAATCCCCTAAGAAACTTTAGAAAGGTTACAGAAACGTAGGCCCCACCCCAGCCCACTGAATCTGAATCTGAGGTGGGACCCAGCATCCCAGCCAGGCCCCAGAACCACTGTTAAAATAGAAAGTTGTGAGCTCAAAGTGGAGAAGCTTGGCCACAAAACTACCTGTGTGACTGCAGAAATCCTTCTCACCAGCCTGGCCCACAGTGGTTAAGTTTGGGATAAGCTGAGCCCCAAACATCTGCGCTTCTCAGAACCTCGGTCTCCACACCTGTAAATGAGGGAAGAACTGGACTCCCAGTGCTAACACCAGCATCAACTGCTGGGGGAGCTTGAGTCACACTGGTGCCTTCTTTCTCTAAAGCGCTCTTCCCAGAACAGTCAACAAATGCTCACCAGAGAAACCAAAGAATGACATGACCTTGCTGGCCTGGGAATCTTCCCCCTCAACACCCAAAGCTATTCACAGAAGTGGCTTGGCTGGAGGAGGAAGGACAATACTGAGTCCCATAGTAACAGAGAAGAGCTAATGCCCACTGCAAGAGTAATAGAAGCTGGATTCCAGAACCACCCCCAGGCGTGGGATTCATCAGCCCAGGTGGGGCTCCAATCCCAAGGGAGCCACATCCAATTCTTTCTTTTCCCTTATTCTCCATGTCCATGGAGAGGCAGCAGTGTGTAAATAAGAGGTAAGGACCAGAGTCAGAGAGGTGAGGTCTGCAGCCTGTGGAGTGGAGCACAGAACTGTGCTCCATAAATTGTGAGCCCTCTCATTGAAACCCTCCATACTGCCTTTCTGGTTTTACCTCTTGGGACCCAAAAGCCCGGAGAAGACAAAGAAAATCCTTCCAGAGAAGAATAGCCTCTCGTAGAATCTCCTCTGGCAGTGTTTCTTAGGAGAAAATAAGAGTGAGCTGTTGTCCTGGCCAGTTTGGCTCAGTGGTTAGAGAGTCGGCCTGAAGTCTGGAGAGACCCAGGTTCGGTTCCCGCTAAAGGCACGTACTGCGGTTGCAGTTTGTCTCCGGCCCTGGTTGGGTCGTGTGAGTGGCAACCACTCGATGTGTCCCTTTCACCTCGATGTTTCTCTCTCTCTCTCTCCCTCCCACTCTATCTGAACAAAATATCGAAAAATGTCCTCCAGTGAGGATAAAAAAAAAAAGTTACAAAGAGTGAGCTGTTGCACAGGCTTCCAGACAAAAAGCTCCACTGCTGCACACTGTCTATGTTCTGCTAACCTAAGCCACCAGCACCTCATGCCCAGACCTCTGCAGTCACCCGTGACCTGATCCTCCAGTCCTTGCCTTATTTCTCCCAAGGTATCCATGGTCATGGCTCAAAGAACATTTGATAATGTCATTCCCCTACTTAAAACCTCCACCGTGTTCTTCCCCTTCCTCCTACCCTCTCACAGAGGTCTCTGGGCCCTGTGTGACTTGCCTATTGTCGACCCCTCCACTGCCTTAGTCACTCCTGTGCTTGTCACACACTTGCCTTCTGCCCCTGAACATGCAGACTCTTTTGTCCCTCAGAGCTCCCTGCCCACTACATTCACCACCTACTAACTTCTCTTGATTTATTCCTCATTCATTCCCTCAACCAGTCAGGCACCAGGTACTGTTCAAAACAAGAGAGCCTGTCCCTACAAAGCTTACTCTCTACCACGTGGGGAAGGGTGGATGATATAAACAATAAGTGCATAGTGTGTATGATGGTGCTAAGGTGCTAAGTAGGGGAGGGTATCAAGAGTGATGGGAGCCCTGGCTGGTTTGGCTCAGCAGTTAGAGCACCGGCTTGAGGACCAAAGGATTACAAGTTCGATTCTCAGTCAAGGGCACATACCTGGGTTTCAGGTTTGATCCTGGCCCTGGTCCAGATACGTGCAGGAAGCAATCAATCGTGCCTCTCTCACATCGATGTTTCTCTCTTTCTCCCTTCCACTCTATCTAAAACTCAGTGGGAAAATATCCTGGGGTGAGGATTAACAAAACAAAATAGAAAAAAAAAAGAGCAATGGGAGTCAATGTTTCAGATGAGGGACCAGGGAGGTCTCTGAGTGAGGACCTAAAATCAGCAGGCAAGCAAGTCACAGCTCCTTTCAGAGCAGCCTCTTCCACCCCTCAACTCAAACCAGGCCCCGACATCTCCCATGGCTCCATTTCCTTTCTTCCCCTTGTACCCATCGTACACTGTACTTTTATGTTTCACTATTTTCAGCACATTAAATAAAATAAGCTCCATGAGGCCACAAGCGATGTCTATTTTGCACCCCTTTTCTCCAGCATCTAGCATAGTGTCCAATGTTTGTCTGTGACTTACCAGGTGAGTGATATTGGTCAAGTTATTTAACCTTTCTTCTATTCAGTTTCTTCACCTGCAAAATGGAGCTAATGACACCTACTCTCAGTTGCTGTGAAGAATAAATGAGTTAACACGTGTAAAGTGCCTAGAATAGTACCTGGCACACATTAAGCACTCAACCAATGTTCCTTATTAGTTATGAAAGACTGCTTAATAGCTATTTATAAAATAAATGACTGACTAGGGAAGGGAAGGGGAAAACTTGGGGTCACATTCTCCTGCCATTGGCAAAGGGGAGGCTGGAACCAAACTCCCAGCCTGCTCCTTTTTCCATCAGAACATGCTGCTTGCTGCTAGTAAATCCTTCTGGGGGGTGGGTGGGTGGGCAAAATATCCAATGCTTTAAAGAGAATAAGGAATTGATATCTGAATGGATACTACTCTTTCTTCCCTTGGGAGAGCTCAGGACTTAAGTTGGAAGTGAGTTCTGTGCTTTGCATGTCCCAATCAACAGCCCAAACCTGCTTGTTTTGGGGCAGGACCTGGCTCCCTCATTAACAGACATCTTCATTTCTTCCCCCTTTTGCAGCCTCTCAGGATCTCATACTAGGCATGACTGACCAGCCATGCGCATCTCCTTTGAATTGCTCTCCAAAGGCTATGTATCCATTTTGTTCCAATGATCAATATAATCACTCATGAATATGAGTCACTCCCTGTCTTGGGACCCAATTATTTTCTTATGGAAGCAGTGGTTGCAAAAATATATTGTTTTCCAGTTAACTAGTAAGTTCTATTTTTATCTATGGTTTCCCCACTCCTAATCTTGTATTACTGGTGAGAGGTTGCTGTTTAAACCTGAGTCCAAGTTCCCTTGTCCAAGTTCCCTTGTCTGCTAGGTCTATTAAGTCACCACCTTCTCCAGGCTGCCAATGATCTGAAGGGGCCACAAGAGAAGGTGCTAGCAGTCAATCTTCCTCTCTCTTCTCCTTTTGCCAACACCAGGGGAAAGGGAGGGAACAGGTCTCTGTTCTTTAGCACTCTCTAAGCACAAACCATCACTCCAGAGAGATTTTATGGGTGAGCAGGGAGGTTGTTCGGACTGAACTACTATGCTGGCATTTATGCAGAAAAAGGATCAAAGGGAATGCCATCTCTCAGGAACTTCAAAGTCATAGGAGCCTTGGCAGACATATCAGCTCTGTCCCTTAAACTAGCTGTGTGGCCTTGGGCAATATGCCACCATTGTGGAATTCTGTTAACTTGCGTATAAAATGGGATTGATAATGACTACTCACAGGGGTTTTGTCAGGATTAGATGAGGTAACAAATGTCATGATTGCTTCATCTTCTGCAACTCAGTGTGTGATACATCAGTCACTGAAGTCTACTCTATTTCCCTAAAGGGCAACTCTATCCTTTTAATTGCTTAGGCCAAAAACCTGGCTGTCCTCCTGGTTCTTCTCTTACAATCTTCATCTAACCCATCAGTGCCCTCTGCCAGCTCTGCCTCTGACCTTCACATCCAGGCCGGACCCCCCGTTCCATCTACCACCATTGTCTTGCTCCTGGATTATTGCAGTAGCCTTTGAGTGATTTCCTTGCTGCCATCTTTGTTCCCCAACAGTCTATTCATAATACAGCAGCTAAGCTAGTGTGGCCCTTTAAAGATGCAAGTCTAATCATTCAACTATTATGCTTAAAACCCTCCAGTGGCTCCCATCTCACTTAAAGAGTATAAGCCAAGTCCTTCCAGAGTCCTATAGGGGCTTCAT